CCCAAAAGATTTGCCACGGGTGGCGCCGGAGAAGGTGAGAGGGGGACAAGGAGCTGTTCTCACCCCCATCCCATTGCCAGAGCCCTGTAATTACTTGAAAGAACTGCTCTGATGGGATCACATGCCTGACACTGAACTGAAGCTGCAACTCCATGCAGGATGTATAGTCTGGACTTACGGATTTGGAAAGTTAAGGCCAGTTAGTCTGTGGACCTCAAATGTCGCAGGAGAAGAAGTAGAACAGCCCTTTGGGCTTAGTCTCCTACCGGTGGCATGGTGCCTTTCCTGAAATATGGAAACTGGTATCTTTCACTGGAATGGATGGTGGGATTCCCGTGCAGAAAGGTTGTTTTCACTCTAGAAAGGAACAGGTTGACTCTATGACTCTTTGCTCATCTTTGCACTGCCTCATGGACGCTGCAGTGGATGCAAGAACCCACGTGGTAGCCGGTTCCTCAGCCGGTGGGGGATTAGCTTTGTCCCTCCTGCCCGTGACGCCAACGGCGAGACTTCCTTAGGCCCTGACTGAGTCCTGGAGTAGCAACACGGAAGGGTGCAAGGGCGACCCGCTGCCGGGCTTGCGGCAATGGAAAGGAGAGATGGTTGCGCCAGTGGGGTGGCATTTAGAGTGCACAGGAAGCCTAGCAAGAGGCTCCGAAGAGCACCAGTGGCATCATCGGCTTGGGTCGTAACAATCCTGCATGGAATACGACAGAGACCTTGGCAGATTGCAAATTATTATCATCATTGCATTGCATTTATACTCCACCTTTTTAGTTCTTCTGAGGATCTCACCGTGGCATATAGAAGTCCATTTGAGCCTCGCAACACATAGTAGAAAAGCGACAGTTCCAGAATACTTAAAACTATAAAATAGTTATTTAGGAGAAGGAAATGTGATGTCACGCAAAACAATAAACAGCGCAGAAATGGATAAAATAGGCACGCAGATCTAGTACTGGGTCTCTAAAATGTCTGGGGGAAGTGTCTACCTGACCCTGAAAAGGTAGCAGCTCAGGCGTGTGGGGAACCTCTCCAGCGAGTTCATTCCACAAATGGGGTCCCACCACTAAGAAGATTCCCTTGCCGCTGCCCATCCAGCTTCCTTAGGCAGGGGCACCCACAGGGTCCACGCGAGTTTGTGTAGGAAGAGAGGTTCTTTTAGATGCACTGGGAGTCTTTATGATGGGGTGACAACACTCATGCAAACCGGGGGGCCCTCCAGACCACGTGACCAGGATAGGCTGGACATGCACATGGTGGGCGTGTCGTGAGCGGAGCCGGCTGGAACCGGGGTCAGACTAGATGGCCCGGGAGCCCCCTTCTGACCCACTCTGTGTTTCTATATGTTCACACAGCCAGTGTGGGATGGCAGAGAGAGGGTCTGCCTGAGTTCTGGTCCCACTTGGCCACAGAGCTCCCAAGAAATCTCGGACCAGTCTCTGACTCTCAGCCTGGCCTACCTCCTGGGGTTGTTGTGAGGACAAAATGGAGAGGAGGAGGGCTGGGTAAGCTGCTCTGGGTTCATCACAAGAGGAAAATTGGCAGGCTATGCACGGAATGTGCAAACAACAGATGCTCCTCGCCACCTCAGTGGTCCTCACGCATGGCCAGCCAAAAGCCAGAGGTGACTTGACAGCTCATAGCAACGGCATCTCCTGTCACCCAGCAAGTGGGGTAGTTGTGCTCGCTGTGTTTGACTGGGCAATGATGGGAACTGTAGTCTATGAGATCCATAAATACCAGCATCCTCCAACTGGTAAAAGGAGAGTTACTTTCCATGGCGCTTCCTGCCAGCGGTGATCGGATCAGTTTTAAGCTAATTTTTAAATCAACCTGATTGTCATGTGGTTTTCTTAGGGTCCAGGTTTTTCTATTTTTATCTCCTGAATTCCATATGTTGGGTCAGGCACTGCTTGTGGGAGAGAGGAAGGCTGGAAATGAGGAAGAATGGGAAATTATTTGTTTGATTGGTTGATTGATTGGTTTTTTATTTTTCATTTTTTCCATGTATGCAATTCCTGTCCACCTACTGGTCCAGCATGTGGCTTGCTGAGGAATGCTGGGAAATTAGGATTTTTTTTCTGTCTAACCGTGCATAGAATTGCATCCTAAATCATCTGGGTTTTGGTTTGCACATCTTTTGTTTTCCAATTAACGGATGCCACCTGAGGTGACACAGCAGAATAGAATGAAAGTACATATTTTTCCTTACCTAAATACTGAGCTGAGTCAGCAAGAAAATGCATGCATGCATGCATGCATGCATACAAACATACATACATACATACATATTTCTGCAGCGGGGCAACTGCTTTGCACATCAAAGGCCACAGGCTCGATCCACAGATCAAAGGATCAGGTTGCAGGTGGTGAGGAATGCCTTTGTCTCCAGGAAGGCCTGGAAAGATGTTGCCCATGTAGACAATACTGGACAGCAAGAGAGCCCGACCCACTATTGGTTTCTAGACTCTCATGCCCCCCCCTTGAGAAATCATGGAGGGGGAGGCATTTGGTGATGCCCGCAAAGGCCGTGCCACATCTGGTGTGATTCCTCCGCCATTGGTAGATCCCAGCGATGCCAGCAGTTGCAGCTGGAGGAATTACAGGGCAATCCAAAGCATGGGGCAATGCAGGCCATTACGGAGCAATTTCCCTGGCAGGGGCCGGCAAGGGCCAGCAATGCTCCCAGAAGCAGCGGGAGCACTGGGCCAGGGGCCCCATGGCAGATGGCAGCATTGGCCCCTACCAGGTTTGGGGGCCAGGCAGCTCCCCAGGGCAGCCTCCCACAGAGGTCTCCCCAGCTCTGTCATCCCTACAACATCCAGTCAGGAGAGACTCCTATGCCGTGTCAAGATCTCCTTGAAGGAGTGGATGGGGCACCCAACTCCAACAGTTGCGTCCGTTAAATATTGTTTTAAAGGCAACATATTTACCTTCGTATATTTCCTCCTTGCAATAATTTTATGCTTCCACTGCCCCATGGTCGTGTTTTAGGAACTGTTGCGAACTGCTCCGAAAGCACGCGCTGCTTTAGAAATGAAAATGAGAATGTGGATCTTGTCGGGTTTGGCGAAGTGCTCAGCATTTGTGTGTTGCAACCAGCTTCAGAAAGGCAACTGTTCTCTTTCCCATAATGCCCTTTCCTTCCATAAAACTTTCCCAAGTCCGTCCTCGCCCCATCTCTGCTGGTCCCTCCGCAGGAGCCCGGCCCTTCCAGCAAGGGCGCCCGGAGGAGAGTCCCTTGACACCCTGGGAAGGGACTCCTGGGGGGCGCCGGGCGCTGGAGGCCAGGCGTGCAAGCCGCTGCGGTTTTCGCACTCCCCCGGCAGGAATGCTCTGCGTTCCCTCTAGGTAGGATCAGGGCTGCTCTCCATCCTCCTCCTCCTCCTCCTGCCAGCTGACTTTCCAGAAGGGCTGCTTCTCAAGTCGCGACCTGCTGCCGGTCTCTTCCGTAGCTCCGAGAACCACCCAGGCTGACAAATCAGCCCCCGCCCCCCCCCTCGCTCTGCAGAGGCGCTTACATTTTTATATGGCACCTTAATAACCCCTTATTTCCATTACAAGTGCGTGCTTTTCCTCCGGTTGATCTCCCTCTCCGAGGCCAGGCTTTCTCTGGTCTCGCAGCCCTGCACCGCCTCGGGCAAGCTCTTTGGAGCTGAAGAGGGTCAGGCCTGCTATTAGCCATGGCAGGGGTGGGGGAGGCGGCGAGGGTGGGGAGGCACCAGTCCCCCTCCCATGACGGGAGGCTATAAGCAAATACCTGGAGCCTTCTCCTCTCCTCTCCTTCCCCCTCCCTGCGTCAGAGCTCTGCCAGTGCCCTCGCCACGAGGGAGGTGAACCCAGTTGTCCAGTCGCTGACCTCACCAATGTGCCGATAGTCCCCGTGAGCACAGACCCTGCACAGGTGGGGGCCTGGGCTCCAGTTCGCACGCTTACGCATTTCCCAGCTCTGCTCTTCAGATCCAGTTTCTCTGCCCTACCAAACCACATTGGTTTGAATCCGGATCGGAGCACATTAGCTCCTGCTGGCTTCTCCTAAAGGAAAGCCGGTCTTGCAATTTTGCTGCAGAGAGGCTGAGGAGAAATCGTCGTTAAAGGGATGGGGCTGAGTTAGAATCCGTTTCAGCTCAGGCTTTAGCGGTTTTAACTCAGTGGGATTTGACTCTGTTCCCACCCACTTCGAGCTCTGGGATTGTGCCAGACTTGCTTATGGTGCCCGCGACTCGATCCCCTGATGACTGCAGAGAAGCAGCTGCATGCGGCTATACAACAGCATGTGGCTTCCGCCTCTGCAGGTCAGCCTTCCCTCGGCCAGATATGTCCCACCACAGGCCTCGTGGGGAAATTTCCACCCCCCATCTGCTTTTGTACACCAGAATGACCCCTTGGTATCAGAAGGAAAGCTCACGGCACCGTTTTGCTTGTGCCATCTTTTCCGATGGTTGTTTTTCCGCGCAATTCACGGCTGCTCTGCAGGTTGGCCATCCAGCTCGGCGGCTCTCTTGCAAAGAAGACCACAACGAATGATTGTACTTCATCTGCAGCAGCTGCTGCAGGAATGACTAAATCTGCACCCTGTGTATACCTTCCTCTTACAACCAAAATATCTAGAGAAAAGCCAGGGCCATCACGAGAGTCTGGCCTGATTGGGCATCACCCCGGAGCAGCGATTCTTACAGAGCTGCAGGGGGCAAGCCCCTGAACCAGCTCTGGCTCCCGGTATTTCCAGAAGATAGATTTAACTTCCATTAGGAACATTCCTGTTGGGATATGTGTGCTATTACAAAAGGAAATGAAATATTACAAAAGAGCATCTATCTCAGCGTTAGCATGCATAATTTGCTTTCTGCACTTTTGCCTAGGGGTTTTCTAGCCCAGCCTCCTGGTCTCCATGTTCCGTTTGGCAAAGTAACCCATTTTCCTTGTCTTTGGCAAAGTAACCCATTTTCCTTGTCAACTCGTCGGCGCTTAGCACCATGTTTTCTCTGCTCTTTCAGCCACCAGGGAGTCGGCCTTCGTCCACGCCATCGCCTCTGCCGGCGTGGCCTTCGCGGTGACCAGATCCTGTGCCGAAGGCTCGGCCACCATCTGCGGTTGTGACACGCGACACAAGGGCCCTCCTGGAGAAGGCTGGAAGTGGGGGGGCTGCAGCGAAGACGTGGAGTTCGGGAGCATGGTGTCCCGGGAATTTGCAGATGCTCGAGAGAACAGACCAGATGCTCGCTCGGCCATGAACCGACACAACAATGAAGCCGGAAGGACTGTAAGGAAGACCAGTGGTAGTTAGCTCCACCCCCTCTGAGCGGTTTTGGTGTTACATTTACACAAACCTGATTAAAGAGCTTTTAAATCCCCTTTTACCAAAAAGAGCAACAATGGGCCCCCTGCCTTGCAGTTGTTGGACGTGTCAAATAGGCACGGTTTTGATTTCTGTTGAAGACCCATCTCTTGGCCCGAGCCCTCACTGGGCCAGGCGCAGCACGGCACAATTCCCGTTTCGCTTTTGCCGATGTTTTCGGTGTTCTCTGCTTTAAACATCGCAATTAATGAAATCTGCTTTTACTAAGATGTATTTTATTTTTTAATTGAGCAAACTGCTTAATGGCATGTGGTATATACATACACACATTAAGTAATTAATATAAAATCCAGCCCCAAATTGCAAAATTGTGTGCTCCATTTCTCATGAAGGGAACCATTTCAGGCTGCTGAGAGAAGTTCGGAATTTTCTTTTTCATGGCAAACCATTTAAACTCCCTGCATTTTGACAAATGGCATATCAGAAAACTCAGTTTGTTCCTTCCCTCAAATGCCAGTATTCTGGGCATGTTCCCTCTGTGGGGGGAAATTAAACAGCCTGAAATGGTACAGTTGAAGAAATTCCGGCGAGGTTCTGCTGACTGTGCAAATTGGCATTTCGCCCCACCGTGTGTTGACTGACAGCTTTGACTTACTCAGGAGAAGGAGGGCCACTCTCGAGTATATCAAGCCAGAGGCTCGTATTTACAGGTTGTTGAAGTAGCCGGCATCCAGTCCTGGGCTCCTTCATGGGCCCAGTGCCACTAAGGTGTCTTCTTCTGCAAGGTGGCAGCTCCATCTGGTATCTGCAGAAGGGTGGAAAATGGTGCCTTCCTCACGGAGATGGACACTCCAAGGGAAAATGTGAATATTCCCAGTATCCTGGAATGCCCCACGCTATTGCTTTGGGGGCATTTCCTGCCAGAAAGATGGCAGGAAACCTCGTGCCGGCAGCTACGGCAGTCACAAGAGAGTACAGAGCATTCACACTGTTGTCTAGGGAGGCCAAAGTTGCCGTCTTGTCCTCCTACACATCAGATCATGTTATAGGATTTTAGGGAGTTGGGGAGTAGGCATGGAACAGAAAATTGAGTGTAAGAATTGAGTGTGGGGCTTAGTTTCCCCCGTTTAGCCAGTCTGGGGAAGCCTTAAGATTCAGCAGCTTCAGCTACTGGGGGGGATAGACATGAGAAATAAACACAGAAATAAAACAGGCTGGCGACCCGAGAGATGCCTGCGGAGCATCAGTGCTCAAAAGCCGTACGATCTCCCCTTTCCTTGCCCGTGCTGTGCCTCCGGCTTCCGCTCTCCTTGCCCGTTTGATCTCACTTCGCCTCCCTCTTTCTTTTGCAGTCCATCATCGAGCACATGCACCTCAAGTGCAAGTGTCACGGGCTGTCGGGCAGCTGCGAGGTGAAAACGTGCTGGTGGTCCCAGCCCGACTTCCGGGTCATCGGGGACTACCTGAAGGACAAGTACGACAGCGCATCCGAGATGGTGGTGGAGAAGCACCGGGAGTCGCGCGGCTGGGTGGAGACCCTGCGGCCCAAGTACAACTTCTTCAAAGCGCCCACGGAGCGGGACCTCGTCTACTACGAGAATTCGCCCAACTTCTGCGAGCCGAACCCCGAGACCGGCTCCTTCGGCACCCGTGACCGCATCTGCAACGTCACCTCGCACGGGATAGACGGGTGCGACCTCTTGTGCTGCGGCCGCGGGCACAACACGCGGACTGAGAAGCGCAAGGAGAAGTGTCACTGCATTTTCCACTGGTGCTGCTACGTCAGCTGCCAAGAGTGCGTACGGGTGTATGACGTCCACACGTGCAAGTAAGGCGGCGGTCCTCGCGCATGGGCAGCGATGCAGAGGCGATGTCGGCTCCTTGAGAACGGACGCCGCCGGAAAAACACTCGCTCAAAGAGGTGAAAAACGGCCCAGCTCGCACAAGCCAATTTCTCCTTGTTTGTCACATCCGGAGCCCCCCTCGCAACTCACGGGCAAGCCGAGCAACGGACAGACCAACAGGTGGCTTCCCGTCACCCCTGCTGGAGCTGTGGATTCTTTCACTAGTCAACAACCCAGAGCTGGGTCAGGGGCGGCTGGCAGGTTCCCAGAAAGTTCCGGCGCCTCTGCTCTTTCCTCTCTCAACACAGACAGCAAGACTCGAGCTGTTAAGTGTCCTTGGAATGTTGTGCGTCTTCCCGACACGTGGCTTATTTGTGCATTATGAACACGGACAGAACTTCAAGCGCAAGGACTCTTAACGTTCCAGCCCAGCCTATCGGACTGTATATAGAAAGGACTGCCAGAGGTGCGTTGTCGCTTCCAAGGCCCTTCGTTCAGCTTCTCGCAGGAACTGGCGGAACTTGTACATGACCCTTTGCCCCGTGGAACGGCCCGGCGATGTTCTGTTTTCCTCCCGAACTGGTTGATGTAGCGCCTCATAACATATTTATAGGGAGTGATGCTCGAAACCGTATTTCTGCGGCGGGAGAGGGAGATGGGAAGTGAGGTCCTGGGGTGGCCCTGGGTGGAGTGTGAGTGAGACGGCGTGCGATGGGGTGGGTGCTCGTCGCGCGTGTGTGGCCCTACAGAACACACGTGCGGTGCGCTGAACCACGTCGCAGCTGCGGGTGGGTTATGAAGGTGAGTGAGGGCATTGGTTCTCTGGCATGGGGCGAGCCCCCATGCGGCTCAGTAACCGCGAGAATGGCGACCCACGGCCGCTGACCAAGCCCACAGAGCATGAGAAGGGTGTGCGCCATGCTCGCCATTGCCATGCTCAGGCTTCGTGCCGGTTGTCCCTTCCCCAGAGGGCTTCCCAAGAGGAATCCCAAATCGGCATGCTGCCAGACCCGAAGAACAACAGCTCCCCAACCCCGCTGCATTTTCACGCAGGCCGTACGTGAGAAGGAAACGATTCACATCTTGCGGAGGAGGTCCTGATCTCTCCGCTTTCCGAGGCAGAAAGATCCCTCTGTCCTTGATTGCTTGTCGCACGACCATTTCGGTGACCTCACGTAGCAGACACGGCAAGTCCGCTTTTCCAGATAATCTGGCTTTGTCAATAGAGTTCTTTGGGGTGCTAGTCCTCTTGGTGCAGGCAGGGACCAGCAGGTGCTGACACAGTGCGCGCAGCTGGGTTCCCACATGGAGTGCATGGATTCTGGGGGGAAAGGCTTCGGGCACTCCCAGATTCCTGGTGTGCATTGCAACTGTCAAGTAGGACATCCAGAAGGCCTTCAGATAGGTTTGTTTGCAATCGTTCTGCACTGGGTGGTCAATGCAAATTGCATTGCTCCAGTCTAACCAGTCACACCTAACAAAACCACACAAACAGTTTGCCACACGTTTCCGAATAAATCAGTCCTCCAGAGCGACCTGTGCAGGGAAGTAAGGAAATGAGCCCGTTAGATGAGTGGCCCGGTAATTGCCAAGCCGAGAAGGGGCACCATCTCCTCTGCCTCTTGCCACTTTCGGTCCATTTTCCCAGGAGTTGGTCCAAAGAAAACGGACTGAAAGGCCCCCGTAATCCTGGGGACTCACACCCCTACTCCCTTTTGTGGTCTCAGTGCAGCGGGATCCTCTGAAGTAATAAGACACGAATTAGACCGTTGAGCAGCGAACGAATGGGGGCCGTTTTATTCGGGACTGAACTGAAGGTTGGCTCAACTATTGCGGGCACGGAGGTGTGTGTGAAGGGGGAAGCAGACACCTTCCTGCAAAGGTCAGGGCTGAGCAGGGGTCAAGCTGCTCCCGCACTGTCACATCTCTCTAGCAGGCTTCTGGGACACCAGAGGGGTTCACGGAGCAAAACTTGATCTCCCTGTTCCGGAGAAATCAGTAGAAATGCCTTACCTTTCACCAGCCCAGGGTGGCGGGGGACGGGCAGCAAAATGGCTCAGATCCACCTCTGGCTGCATGCATGCACACATAGAAACAGAGCGAGTCAGAAGGGGCCTCCTAGGCCATCTAGTCTGACCCCCGGCTCCAGCCGGCTCCACTCATGACATGCCTACCATGTGCATGTCTAGCCAATCCTTGAACACCCTCCCTGATGGGGCTTCAACCACCTCCCGTGGAAGCCCGTTCCATACTCTCGGGGTCCTAACTTCCTGACATCCAAATCGAACCTTGGTTCTCTGAGCTTCACTCCGTTGGAGCGCTTCCTGCCCTCCTCTGCAGGGGAAAAAGGTCATGTCCCACCTCTGCATGGCACCCCCTTATGTACCTATACGTTGCTAACAGGTCCCCCCTGAATCTCCTCCTCTCCAGGCTGAAGAGACCCAGCTCCCTCAGCCTCTCCTCATCTGGCTTCCCCTGCAAACCAGCCACCATCCTACTGGCCCTTCGCTGCCCCGATTCCAACCTAGCTATATCCCTCTTGTAATGTGGAGTCCAGAACTGAGCACAAGACTCCAGCTGTGGGCGCACCAGAGTCGTACAGAGCGGCAGCAAGCCCTCTCTCGCTCTAGAAGCCACGCTCCTGGCTGTGCATCCAAGGGTGGCGTTCTCCCTCTTGGCCACCGCGTCACACAGCTGGCTCATGCTCAGCCTGCAGGCGACCAGCACCCCGAGGTCCCTTTCGCAAGTGCTGCTCTCTAATTACTCCTGGCTTTCTCAGCTTGGTGTGGCTTCCATCCCACTTGGCCAGCGGACGATCCGGGGCCGGCCGGCCGGCAGTTAGTGTCTTCAGGGACTGTGGCAAAGACTCGGAGGCGGGGGGAGGCAACCCCGTTGATGCTGCCCCTAGACAGAGGGCAACAATGAGGACTAGGTCAGCTGGCGGTGTGGCTCTTGTCCTTTTAAGGGGTCCGTTCGTAGCCGGGAGCTGCAAGGACCAGCAGCGGGGAGAGGCGGATCGCTGGTGGCAGGGACCGATGCGTCTTCCCAAAACCTTGGCTACTGGTCTGGTAGAAATCCAGGCGAACAATGTGGAGGGCGAGTTCAGTCTAGCTGAAGTCAGAGCAGTGACAATGTTCAGCGCACGTGTGTCTCTCCCCCACCAAAATGGGGCTTGGGGGCGCTTCATGTGGCTTGCACCCCCACTGCTTGGGTTACCGGATGGGCCCTAGAGATCAACATGTTGACTGGCGTTTGCCAGGGCCCTGGATGGGTTTTCTTCTTTTCCAGTGATCTTAGATATACGTTTAGATGGATGGAAAGCTTAGGAATCCATTCATACTCACCCTGGGGCGGGAACACAGGTACAATCATGGCGGGAATATGATCTGTCAGGTTTCAGAAGGAATGAAGTCGAGCGCTTTGGTGTGGCCTTTTCTTTCACTTTTGATTAGAGCTCTCTCTCTCACTCTCGCTCTCTCTCTCCCCCCCCCCCCCCCATCTTTCTTTTTTCCAACATCCCAGGGGGCTTTCAAAAGCCGCCAAAGAAGGATCGGCAGCCATGCTGGAAAACATTTTACTTTGCTTTTATTTCACTTCACCACGTTTTCCAGCTGTAATTTATTAGTATTTATGGGCAATGAACAGCTGTTGCCCATTTCCCTTTCCCTGCCGTTATCCTCCTTCCCCTTTCACTGGAGAGCCATTCCAGGATAGGTAACAGGGGCCCTTGGGCAAATAAGGCACCCCCAAGCAAGCCGTGGGCAGAATCCCAGACTCCCAGCTGCTAGCCTCTTGAGCTGCGAATGATGGGAGCTGGAGTCCTGCTACATTTGGAGGGTCCCAGGTCAGCCAAGAGTTCAAGGTGCTTCCAACTGCAATGTTAAGAATCTACCATTCTTCATGAAGGCCACGTGGTTCATTAAATGCATGATCAGCAAGTGCCTGGTTATTCTTGAGTTTTTGTTCGATAGCAGCTGCAGGGAGAGCAGGATGTGGGTCACGGCGCACAGGAAAGGGGGCTCGACTCTCCCCCTGCAGCCCTGACCAAAAGCCGCTGCGTCCCCACCATCTGTCCGTGGAAACGGCTCTCGGTGCCCGCAGGAGTTGGTTCCCTCCCAGGCCATCCTGAAGCCTGAGGAAAGCAACTTCCATCCGGGGCAGGGGGGCGCTTGAAGCTCCCCACAGGGCCCATTCTGATCTCTTCCCCACCGCTGCTGCAGCAGTCTAGCCAAGCCACGCCAGGTAAGGGGAATGGTCGAACATTTAATCGGTGGCACCATTTTGCTCCTAGATCAGCCTGGTGCAACTCGTGAAAAAGGCATTCGCAGACTCCTGTGCATATCCTAGGAAAAAACTCACGCTCTCCGCCAAGGTGCTGCTCACAGTGGCCGCTGAGCGTGTTCCACGTGCAGACACAAGCCTCTTGGCGTGATCCTTCCCGAGCGAGTCCTGTCACAACTCCTGTGTGCCATTGAGCAGAGTCAGGCTGTGGACGCGCTGGAATTCTCACCTGAATCTCCCTGGGTGCTGCTGGCTGGAATGGCTTGTCCATCATTTCTAAAGAGGGATGGAATCGGCCAACTTTTTAATTGCTATAATTATTATTTCTTAATTTTGCCTATGGATTGCGCGCACTTGGGTTACGGCTTATTTGCATTCATCCTTAGCTGTGTGCCCCTCAAAATATTCACGGAGCGCATGTCCACTGCGGACATGTTGCAACGCCTTCGCATCCCCCCCACACCAAAACCTCAATGCATCTGCGCATCTGCTCATATTTAGACTCTTCATTATCTTGCTTTGTCAGCATGCAAGGGTGGCTGAGCACATTAGTAAAATTCGGTGTGAAAAAGAAACTTTAGGCCATGACACCCCCCCAAAATTTTTAGCCACTATGCTTCTTCCAGTGCAGACAAGCCCTTCGTTAATGCCATGCGAGGAGGGAGAGGAAATGGATTGAGCTGTGGTAGGTGGATTCACAGGGCTGC